TTTGTGAACGCGTTGATGTCTTTTTACCCTATCCCTTTCTCGCATGGGCTACATCATATATGCTATCTCGCTCTCACACCGGCACGTGTATTGCTAGTGACTCAGACGCAGCTCATGTCTCAACGCGTAAGTTTATCGATAAGTTTGTCAGCTATGGAAATGGAAAAAATAAATAAAAACTATTTATTTCATCGTATACAATAATAGATGTCATAAGTATACAACCAACAGTTTTTATTTGACTTCAAACATATCCTAATAAAATTGAAAAAACGCGAAAATTTGTATGTATATTTGTTATTCTTTCACGCTAAAACGTTTAAATGGATTTGTATGAAATTAAGTGCGCATAGCTTATGACCTAGAATTAACGATATTAAATACCCTAGATACACCACGAGCGCTCAAAATGTGTCCCAATCAAGAAGTGCTTGAACTCCACTCAAGTACTTCTTAGTACACAGTCACACGCGGACCGTTGAAAAGTCAAGATGCCAAAGAGTTCCGTGAAAAAATGCAGAAAAATACTAATAGTACGTAAAGTGTCGTTTTTTCGACGGGTATCTAATAAATGTTTTTTAATTAACTCCTTTAAAGCAAATTTTATTGTTGTAATACTTACTATAAACTGATTTAATTTAAAATATTTGTGATATTCAAATGCATGGTCGGTTATACGTCGCCCTTAGCCATCTCTTTTCTTCGCGGTCTGTACCTGCTATATTGCTAACAGTGCATTCAGAATTGCGCGTGAAAAGTAAAAAAAAATAAGGTCTATATTCTTTCACATATAACAATAAATCGTAAAATTTTACGAACTTGACTTGACGCATGCATTTTAATTAAGACCTTATGCCGTATGCATTAAAGGTGACTTTCAATGTTTAAATAAGGCATTATATTGTTTTTGATCACGCGATCATCTTACGGACCTCCGTCGATCGTCCAATGTACCTTTTGGACACGTTTCGGCCACGATTTTGTTCGTGTTGTTGTATCTAGGGTAGTTAATATCGTTGCATTAATACTTCTTGTCCGGGACATGATTTTTTTTGTATTGCTTATATATAATATAGTATGTAGTTACTAGTCGCGTCATGTAATTAGAACGCTGGAAGAAAGTGGAGAGGGTATGATTACGCATTTGCGCACCAAAGTATTAGGCCTCTATTCTAAATTGTTTATCGATAGACAATATCGATATTTTCTAAAATCGATCTTACCCTCATCACTTCGCTGCACTGAGTATATGATCTGACCTTGACGCGTCCAATCACAGCGGGGCTGACCTCCCTGCACCCCACCGACATTGGCGATTTTGATTCCAAACAAAATTTGTGTGATGCGGACTCTAGTGGGGGTGCTCCATGATATTCATACACAGCACGTACACATACATACACACAGAAAGATATATATATATATAGAACATAATATTCATAAATAAAAATAAAATAAAAATACATTTACATATATAAAACTAGCTCAATTGTCCCCATATCACTGAAATGGTATGCTTGCTATTTGGCGGGAATCCACAATGACGTTGTTGCGCGTGCGTGTGATCCACCTAAGGCGGCCTGGCTCGAAGGGAGCACTGACAAGCGGGATACAACAAAACAATGTTAACGAACCTATTTCACAATTTTGTATGTCTAGGAGATGAGATACAGCTTTTTAAACAAAAAAAAATATTCTCCTGAGAAAATATTTTTTTACAACTAAACAATTAGAGTATCTTGGCTGAAATTACACTCACTATTTCTTCACCCTAAAAAGAAGTTTTGAGGAAAATTTCAGCATGTTCGTATGTCTAGGAGATGAGATACAGCTTTTTAAACAAAAAAAAATATTCTCCTGAGAAAATATATTTTTACAACTAAACTATTAGAGTATCTTGGCTAAAATTTCTTCCACTATTTCTTCACCTTAAAAAGAAGTTTTGAGGAAAATTTCAGCATGTTCGTATGTCTAGGAGATTCAGTTCAGTTTCAACAATTTATTAAAATTACATTTTTAGGAGAGGAGATAAAGGGCCCGGACCCTATCTTCTATGTTTCGTCCATGTCGGCTGCTAGCTGGTGGCTGCTAGTTTCAGTTTGATGTAATTTTTTACCATTTCGGTAGACAATTTTCATTTCAGTGGACTGCCGAAAACTCATCCTTAAATATTTCAGTAATTGGTGATTGTTGAATTTGCCCCGTAGGATCGTTTAAAAATGGAAAAAAATACCATAAACAATATTTTTTCTTTTTTTAATTTGCACCTGTAATTGCATTTTGCGTAAGTTGATACCTTTTTTGTAGGAAATTAAATTTTCTACAACTTTGTGCTACAAACTTTTTCTATTTTTCCAGCCAGTCGCGAGATATTGACGAAAAACTCGTTTTTGCACCATTTCGCATTTTTTTTTTCACCCTTTGCCGTCAATGCAGCACCCTGCAATTTTAGTAAATCTACGAACCCTTGCGGAAATTTTCGCGTTGGTTGCAGGTGATCAACTCAAAATGGTAAAGATAAGCCTTCATTGACTGGACTATTTTGTTTGTGTAACAATCAAATATTAGTTTCGCCAGCCATGGATGGATGATTTTAAACTACTTATCAATATATTCTTTACTTGTTGAGTATCCAGACTGACCGAATTATTTAAATACATCCTACATAGGTCTCAAATAGAAAGTATGCAGATTATTAGTTGGTGACTAAAGCCCCGTTGTTTGTTACTTTACATACCTAGTTAAATTTAACTATGTACATATTAGTTAAATACATAGTAAAATGTGTAAAATTTTGACAAATGATTACATTTTCTAACGTTTTTTACGCATCAAACAACGGGAAGGCTTTTTATTATATAACTTTACGGGTGCCTGGCCTAGCAAATTGTTAAGCACGAAACCTAAATAAATAAAAAGAAACGAAATTCTTTGCTTAAGTTTTAATAGTAGTATGTATGTTTGTGTTCGTGAGACATAAGTCTTGAAGGCCAAGGCTTCGTCGACAATATCGTACAAACGAAAAACTCGAGTTCAACGACCAAAAGTCATGGCTTTGACTTATGGCCTCTAGAATTCTGAATGTAAGTGTGCTCTGGATTTAAGTGTGTGCTCTGATATATAATTCACACGTTTCTCGTCTCGTCTCAAAAGGACAGCTATGGCAACCAGAATATATTATTCCCAGAACCGAACTAAATTGGAAACACGTAAAGAGCTGTGGTTCAAAATTTAAGGTAAGCAATTAATGATCAGGGCGTCAATCGCCGAACTGAAATGCTATGGCTATCGCTATCGCTTACGATTTCATTTTGTTATTTCTGACCGCCGAAAGTTTTCAAACACCTTACGCTCATTTTCTTTAATATTGTTGTTACCAATACAAAAGAAATAAAAGAGTGCGGGGCATTTGAAAACCTTCAGCGGTCAGAAACAACAAAATTAAAAATAAAGCCTCCAGGATAAAGATATGCAGTAGCGTAGTAATAGGGATGACGACTAAGTTTGTTTCCCTGTCTATCAGGTGGTTTAACAAAAAGTATTGGATATGTATTTTTCTTTACTTACACAATTAAAACATTACAGCAATATATTGATCAGAAAAGTCACATGGCGTCCTGGTACAATTTTACATAGAAGTGACGTCACGAGCTCCTTTATCCAAAGTTTGACATATAACTTTGTAATTTTTCTGTTGATTGACAGAAGTTTTTGCTACGTTGATACTTGCTGTAGATTACAAATGGATCTCGGAAAGAGTAAAAGTTAGAAATTAAGCTTCCCATCTAAACCCATGGACCGCTATCAACCTTATTATGAACTCTAACTTAGGTCTTCTAGCTATTAACGGGGTTGTTACCATGTACCTTGTTACCATTTTGGCACTGATGCAAGCGCCATGATCACGGAGTAACTCAACAAGCTTGCAACAGCCGAAATATCAGAGACTCATAAAAAACAAGGTACATGGTAACCATCCCGATAGTGGCTATAATGTTAGTCACCATGAAAGTTTGAAAACAATATATCTAACTTAGGTCGTAATAAAATATCCCACTATCTTTCGTGTTTTATTTAGTTGAATAAAAAAACTAGAACTCAGCAGGTGTCAGAATTAATTTATTCAGACATTCTAATCAATCAAATTTTAGTCTCACTAAGATACCTACTACGGGAAAATTAATTAATTTTTGCTTTTGGTGCCGAATTCCACAGCAACCACTTACTGCATTCCATTGACGTGAGCCAACCCTAGTTCTTTAGCACAATATGTTTCTTATTTCTTTATGTACAAACGATTCTGTGTTCTACGCAAATTTCATCTTTATGCATTTATGATGAGCGAGAGCACTTCTTTTAAGTATAAATGTTCTTTATTTGGTATGCACTTAGTTTTGTGGCTTAAAGTGACATCTATTTATATCACAATGACTCACATATTTATATTTTTTGTAAGCAGACTTTTATCAGTACTTACAGGTTATGTCTTATTTGCTCTGGTGATTAAAAATATAAAAACAAGATATGCACTGCTGTTTGTATTTCACAACATGCTTCATAACAATAACGATATAAATCGAAGTATACACTAGTCCCGTTTCCGAATTCGATTTGTATTACGCAGTTATCCCTGATAGTCTTTCAGAATATAGTAAATGAAATGACATTTTAATATATTTTATTTATTTATTATCTTAAAGCAGCTAACAGCTTATGAACATAAAAACAGCAAAAAACATAACTAAAAGCTATTGACAAGCTATCCTATATATATAGAAAACTATAAAAATGAAATATTTTTAATTAGACGGAGTTTATTGTTTGCTTATAATATGATAGATAACATTTCAGCTATCTTTGTTCTTACCTATACGAATACTGTATTGTAAGCTTCTAAATCTCTTGTCTAACAGTTACACCTATCCCACGAAAATTTATGCTAAACTTGTATCACTTAAACTATCCCCTATTGAATGGTACTACGGTTCAAAATAACTTACAAGTAAGTGATCCGAGCAGCGTGGCGACGCTCCCACTACAAGAGCAGGCGTCTCATCGATCCACCACTGGCTTCGCCTGAGGACAAAGAATATAGTTTTGATAAACCAAGTACAAATAATGTGAATAAAATTATAATAAGTTCACAATGAAGTTACCTACTGTAGAGGTAAAAGTTAAAATGGAACGTAATTAAGAAAGGATTAGGTTTGACATCAATTGATTAGAAAATTTTAATAAGAAAGGTTAGGCAGGTAAGCGGAAACTTTAATAAGACTTGTGGTGACGATTTTGTGCCAAATCAGATATTTCAGTAACAAGTATTAGTTTGGATTCAGAGCAAGCTATATTTGGTTACTTTTCACCAAAATGGACATAAAAGCATAATTTACAATTACGAAAACTATTATAGTTTTCGTGAGCTCAAACTCGTACTAAGGGTACTGAAGTGGCCGACAAATAACTTCTTTAGCTTTAAATGCGTTTGATCGGAATCTAATATCATGGTAGAAGAAGACGAATAGAAAGGTTAATTCAATGAAATATTCAAACAAGATTGGAATGTAAGACAAGGCGAGTCTAGCTACTGGATTATGCAGATCGCCAAATATTACAATACAAACATACCAAATGAGCTTTTCATTTAAGAACGTGCATTTAAAAGATATTATTTTAATAAACATAGTGTCAATAAGCATTTCCATTCCGTTTTACGTTACGCTGACAGTGTAAAACGAGTACTTATAATTATGTTAACATGAAAAGCTAATTTACAATGAGAGAAACATGCAACAAACAGCTAGCAACGTGAAAACAATCTCATTTTTGAAGTACCCTTAAGAGCATTTATAGCACGGTAATATTATCTATTACCGTGTTTATAGTCAAGCTAAAGGTAATAAATAGCTTAATCATACCGAATAATACAACCGCACTACACCTGCCGTTCTACTCTATTCCTGTAACATTCCTACCGGTTCAAACGGGCACAACTTACGGAAACTATTATTTGGGTCGAGTTGGCTTGGCTGATCAGGCAACTTAATATTGCGGATTCATGATGACCCCGGGTTAAACACATTGTTAGTACATTTCCAATCGCAAGTGGTACCTTTATTCTTGTCAATTGTGTATTTCTTTTTCAACGTTCGCTATATTTTATATTTTCATTATAATTATGGTGATGATCCTGTTTCTCAGTATCTCCGTTTTGTATTGCTTTATCAGTACCCAATAAGTAGTCTTGTAATTTGTGTACATATTTCTATTTCAGCATTAGTATTTCAGATTGAGGAGCTCGATGGCGCAGGTGGTTAGCGCGTCCAGCTGCGATCGTTGTAAGCAACTTTCGCAGTGGTGGCATTTGAGATTTAGTTATAAAGATTATTCCGTTTCTCAGTAACAGTACTTAAGTTATCTTTTGCTTTAACAATGCTCAATGATCGCTCATTAGGTACACCCATCAATTTTGTTATTTTGAGACATTTCACCTAGCCCTATAGGAATGTCACTAGTTGAATCTGTGAACGTCCTCCGCTGACTGCCTCAGACATGCAGACAAAGTTTATTCTATACATTTAATTTGCCTCATCTTATCACTCTGCGTTCTAACCGTCTTTTAATTTGAGCTTCCAAAACTTTTAACAATCAGCATCGAAGTTATAGGTTCTGATTCGACAAAGTTACCTCATTTATGCATGACTGAAATCTAAACCCAGTTCAGACTAGCAAACCATAAAAAATATATCAGAGTACCGTGTTTTAATGAATGAATAGGGGAATAATCCGCCAAACCCTAAGTCTAACCAGAAGTTGAGCCAGATCTCAACAATGGCTGTCCTTGGCCAACCCTCGACTCGTCCCCATTCATAAATACAACCTTGAGATGCCCCTTCCTCATTCAACGTCAACCTTAAAACCATCACTAAGAGAACAGTTTACAAGACACCGACTGCACTAAGATGGTACACTGATCTTATATAGGAAAAAAACGAGTGCACCGGTGTTTTAAATGCAACTATACTTACCTTATAATCAGCAATTTCACTTTCTAGTTTATTTAAGCGTTACACGAATGGTGATTGATGATTATGTGCTCATGTGTATCGTGCCCGTCATCAACTAATTTATTGATTGAAAACAAAAGCAAAACACTTGATAGCCTCATGTTTTTTTCAGATTACATTTTCTCTTGCACTCTGACGTCAGTATGATCGAAATAAGTGACAGCAAAATTATTATACCGAGCTGAACACTTGTTTCATGAGTTATTAGTGTGTAGTTAGAAAGAACTCATGCAAATACAAAACATTGCTATTAGCAGATATAACACAACGTATGCGCAGTAAATTAAAGAAGCTGAAACTAGCAGACATTGTAGCAGATACATCCAGCAGCGGGACCAGAATGCGCTTGCTTTTGAAACGTGGATGTGTCTGCTAGTTTCAGCTTCATAGTAACTTAACAATATTTTAAAAACACGCTTTTTGTTGCCATTTGCCCTGTAGCTAGTAAGGGACAGTGCGACTAATCCTATGATGGCCGCAATCCCATAATTGTATTACCGACTCAGCGAAGCTTTGAGAGGTTGCCAAGCCAGTTGCGAACTCATGGTGAATTTTGTCGTGACAGTCACATTACATTAATTATATTAATGGTTTATATTTTAATTATAATAAAATTCTAAAAACAGTACAGATGTAAGATATATATTATTAACCAAAGAAAAACGAGGATGAATTTAATTAAATACCAATAAGTAATGAGGAATCCAAGAAATGGAACGATGCTCAAGAGCGAAAAATATTTATACCGTCAAGACGTTCGCGGTTTGCATTCTCGCATTATAAATTTCAAGTTTATTTATAGCCACGTTTCCAAATGACGATTATATACATTTTCATATAATGCTGTGTATACTTCTTTTTACGTAACCAAACAAAATAAAACATACAATTTCCTAAAAATTCTGCTTATCAATGCATGTGATAATTTGCAGGTATTATACGTAATCAAGCTGGTATATCATTTGCTATAATTTCCCTGAACGATTTACGACCAAGTAAGAAGAGTTGTGTGCATAGAATTAACGAATGTGGCAGTCACGCGAGGCAGTCAGGATTGTAATGAGGTTGACATTCTAGGACTGGAATTTCGAATGAAATCCCAAATGAATAAAGAACGTAAACATAACTTTCTTATATTTACGTAACAAAAAGTTGTATGTAAAACATGTTTTGCTATCATCTATACTCTTATCCTTTATTAATAAAAGGAATTTTAAAGCGATTTTTTTTCGTCGTTTCTCCACAACTAAAAGAAGATTTCAAATGGTAGTTTGAAAACCATTTTTGACTATTCATAAGAGTTGTTTTATACTTTTAATTGGATTTTTATTTAAATAAAATAAATATAGATAATTTTACCACTTACACCACTTAGCCTAGCCCCAGAGTAAGCACTGTAAGACTTAAGGCTTGTGTAATGGGATACAAGGGTAACGGATTGAACACATAAACTGATACATATTAAGTATACCTATTTATATACAAATACATATTGTCATCAATCACTTAGGCATAAATGCTCGTATCACGCAAACATTCGGCCACCGTGATTCGAACCCGGGACCCCTGATATATAATATATGACATATCTTGATTTCTTAAACGAGCTAGCAAGACAGTAAGTACGACATGGGAACCATGCTGAGTAGAATCTTACCCAAAATAAACTTGTGCAACAATCGGTCAGGAGGTTAGCAAGTAGCTTACAAGTTACATAAGCAATGTAAGCAGTAAATTATGAACTTTGATCGCGGTCTACTTAACATGTGTTACGGGCATACACTGTCTGCATTCCGAGTTAGGTAACAATTTAATTTTTTCTATTAAACGACGCTCAAATATTAATTGTCTTGTCGATATTGTTTATTTTATCTGAGTGTTAGAACTATTACGTCGGAATGGTATAGAAAACAATTTTATTGTACTTTCAACATTTAGCAAACTTCTAGATAGATATAAATCCTGTTGAGATAAGATAAGACAATTTCTTAAATAATTAACAGACACTTGTTCCCGGGTTTAAATGAATACGCATCTGATGCATCACGACACGACTCGCTAGTATGTTTCTACCTTTAGATTTCAAAACTAGGAAATTTGTCTCGTCTGAAGCATTCCGAATGCGAATATGCTTCATAATTAATGGATAGTACAAAATGCCCGCAAGACATCGCGTGTCTCCGAGCAATGACTCTGCCTGCTGGGTCTCCGGTGGAAGAAAGACGTAAACGCGTATACGGAAAGATACCATTCATCACTGAGAAGCCAGCGCATAGTAGTGTAGTTTAAACCTTTAAGAAAAACAATATAATGAGTATGTACACTAATGTGTTTCCTAATAAAGATTAATAAAATAAATTTGAATTAAAAAAAAAATGGTTGCAGTGTCCACAATTACGATGAATATTAGAAAACAACATTAATATTACAATGGCCTGATCCTAGTCACAACCTAAGTCCGTAACTGAATTTCACATTCTGGGTTATGTTATTTCTGTGGATGAAGTCTAGACGACTGCGACCAAGTTTAAATGTCTGTAAAGATTGTCGGAGGTAGTGATGAGCAACTTTTAAATCAATGCAACAAAGCGATTATTGAAGTGAGACATCGTTACAAAAGTAGTGTAGAACGCTGAACGGGATACGTTTCGGTTATTTGTTTTTTTTTAATTATGTGTTCAATTTGTGATAGTGATTTCGTGAAATGGGACGGAAGTGTGTAACAGGAAGTCGCGAAAGTGCGCGCTATTGATTTGATTTTAGATGGAGCTGAAACTAGCGGCGATAGGTATCAGTCGAACGCAATTTCTGTACAGGTTGATTCTATGAGATTTAATTTTTTTTTTGATAAATAAATGTATAAGAATGATTCAGGAGAAGAATCAATAAACTTCGAGCACGCATTTATTTTTTTATTGAATAAAATGTTCCTGAATGCTCTCAGCAGGTAATAATAGAATAATATAGAAAAAAAGAAGGCATGCTCGAAGTTTATTGATTCTTCTCCTGAAT